TCTCTCTCTCTCTGTGTGTGTGTGTGTGTGTGTGTGTGTGTCTCTGTCTCTCTCCCCCTCTCTCTCCCGCATCTTGCGCGCATGCGTTTAAACCATCTCGATGGACCTCTCTCTCTCCCCCGCTCTCTCGCCCGCTCGCTTGAGCGCGCGCGTGCTTTTTTTTCCCCTTTTCAAACATAAAAACGTCTCGATGGACAACGGATCACATATGAAACTGAACACAGCAGATACTACACTTGATCATGGGGGGGGAAAGGGGCACATGTAGCTGGTTAGATTGGGGTCTCTCTGGCCCCCTCTCTCTAGTCTTTCTCGCGCGTCTAGCGTGGATGCTTTTCCTTTCTTTTCTGTAAACCGTCTCAATGGACCACGTATCAGATACTAAACTTGATCGTGGGGGTGGTGGTGGTTGGCACATAGTTAGTTTGGGGGCTCTCTCTCTCTCCCTCTCTCTCACTCTCTAATCTCTTTCCCGCGTCTTACGCGCACTTGTTTTTTTTTGTTGTTTTTTTTTTCCACTAGTACCTCCGAGCCTATTTTCGACAAGTACTGGTCTACCTCCGAACTTTCATGAGGCCAAGCCCGCCGTTGATAATCTGATCGGCAGCCGTCGTTTCGTTTTGGCCTCCTGAAAGGTCAGAGGACGAGTATTTTTGAACCGACAAAGGTACTAGTGGTTTAACAGTCTCGTGAACCACGGATCTGATCGAAGCAGATGGTGCACTTGATCGTGTGGGCGTAGTTGGTTAGTTTGGGCTCTCTCTCTCTCTCTCTCTCTCTCTCTCTCTCTCTCTCTCTCTCTCTAGCGCGCGTGCGCATGCTCTTTTTTCTTTCTTAAAATGAAAAGGTCTCCATGGACCACAGATCAGATATGAAACTGAACGGGCAGATACTCACTTGATCGTGTGGGGGGGAGGATGGGATATGAAACTGATAGAAGCATATGCTACACTTTTATCATATAGGGGGGAGGGGGGGGAGGCGCATAGTTAGTTAGATTGAGTTCTCTCTCTCTCGTGCGCGCGTGCTTTTTTTTTTTTTTTGAAGTCTCGATGAACCACATATCGGATATGAAACAGATCGGAGCAGATTTTACACTTGATCGTGGCGGGGGAGGGCCACGTATAGTTAGTTAGATTTCTCTCTCTCTCTCTCTCTCTCTCTCTCTCTCTCTCTCTCTCTCTCTCTCTCTCTCATCCTGCGCGCACGCGTTCAAGCCATCCCGATGGACGTCTCTCTCTTTCTCTCTCTCTTCCTCCCTCTCTCGCTTGCTCGCTTGCGCACGCTCGTGCTTTTTTTTTTCTATTTTAACATAAAAAGGTATCAATGAACACCGGATCAGATATGAAACTGAACGGAGCAGATACTACAGTTGATCATGGGGGGGGTGGGAGGTGGGTAGTTGCTTTTGATCGAAGCAGATACTGCACTTGATCGTGTGAGGGGGAAGGGGGGCGGTAATTGGTTAGATTGGGGTCTCTCTGTCGCCCCCTCTCTCTCTCTCTCGCCCGCGTGCACATGAGTGCGCAGATGGGCGCAAGTCTGGTGCGCACGCTTTTTTCTTTTTTCTTTTTTAACCGTCTGGATGGACCACGGGTCAGATACTACATTTGATCGTGGGGTGGGGAGGAGAGGGCGGGGGGGGGGGTAGTTAGATTGGGGTCTCTCTCTCTCTCCCTCTCTCTCTAATCTCTCTCCCGCATCTTGCGCGTGCTTGTTTTAATTCTTTTCTTTTTAACCATCTCGACGAACCACGGATCTGATTGGAGCAGATACTGCGCTTGACCGTGGGGGGGGCCGTAGTTCGTTAAACCACCAGTACCTCTCCCTGCTTGAGGAAATCGAAGCGGCCGTTAACGCGCCGCGTCGCGCAGGGTACCGCCCGGCGTGCGACCGGTAATCCCCAAGAAACGGGGCCAAAAAAAAAAAAAAAACGACGAAAATGAAAAGTAACATCCTACAACAAACAGGCGCCGCGGGGCGGGGAAGGGGGGGGGAAGAACGAGAGAGAGAGAGAGAGAGAGAGAGAGAGAGAGAGAGAGAGAGAGAGAAGAGAACGTCTCTCTCTCTCTCTCTCTCTCTCAAACGCGGATGAATCTTCCGCGTTACCGCGTTATCGCGGAAGATTCATCCGTGTTCGAGAGAGAGAGAGAGAGAGAGAGAGAGAGAGAGAGAGAGCATACGCGGATGAATCTTCCACGTTATCACGGAAGATTCATCCGCGTTTGAGAGAGAGAGAGAGAGAGAGGGAGGGCGTCAGGGTGTATCTGACGCCAAGTTTGGTCCACCAAACTCGGCGTCAAATACTCCCTGACGCCCTCCTCTCTCTCTCTCTCTCTCTCTCTCTCTCTCTCTCTCTCTCTCTCTCTCTCTCTAACGAGAATGAATCTTCCTCTTTGTCGAGGAAGATTCATTCTCACAGGGCACGTCTGATTTCCTTTCTTTTGCTGAATGTTGTATGTAATTTTTTTGTTTTTTTTTGTTTTTTTTTGTTTTTTTTTGTTTTCCGTGATGTCCTACCGGTTGTCCGAGGCTCGGCAATAAAGTCCGAGGCTCGGGAAGGACCGGCCTACCGGTAGCCTGAGCCACGGGCCTTAAGACCCGCTAGGTACTGGTGGTTTAAGATCTCTCTCTCTCTCTCTCTCTCCCGCCCGTGTCTTGCGCGCGCGCGTTTAGACCATCTCTATCGTGCGCGCACGCGTGCGCATTTTTTATTTATTTAAATAAACAGACGTCGATGGACCACGGATCAGATATGAAACTGAACAGAGCAGATATACATCTATGAGCATGTATACATTTATCGCAGGCAGACGGAGAAATCGAACAAGAACAGGGTGCGTGTGATTGGCTTTTTCCCACAACTGATACCCTGAGGTAACCACCAACCATCCCTGAGGCCACCAACCATTGCTATCGAGTCCCTATGACAGGAACTTCGGAGTTTTACTCCACACACCAGGCGAAAGACTCCGCACAGGAGATTCACACCCCATCATAAGCCAACAAAACCCCACGAAAGGTTCACAATACACAAAATACACTCCACAGACCCAAACGCTGTCCACAATGCAACTTTCATAAAAACAAATTCCCATTTTTTTTTTCTTTCTTCATTCTTCAGTTTTTCGAAGATGTGCACTGGGACTGCCTCGGACCCCTGCCCTGACCCCCACCTTGCCATGCCCGCCTGGCTGGTGTACCCGGGCAGACCCCCCAAAGCTGGGCCATGCAGCTGGTAGCACAGGTAGATTCAGTTGAAAAGCACGACAATCAAACCACCAGTGGAAACTCACCGCAATCACCCAATCACCAATTTCAACAGTGCTGCTGTCCCCAAGTGGTGCTTTCGGAAGGTTCTCCCCCTCCTTCAGATCGATCTGTGTGTGTAGCAGCAGCACAAACACCAGCACACAGCAAGTTGCAAGCCTTTGCTTAGTGAAA